TATTATTATTATTATTATTATTATTATTATTATTATTATTATTATTAGTAGTAGTTAGTATTAGTAGTAATATTATTATTGTTTTTATAATTATTGTTATTACTTTAATTAAATTACATATGTACGTGGTTGTAAATATACTTGTAATGTACCCAATATACCTATATACCTATATACCTACTTAGTAGTATAAACCGTTGTATGATATTGTTGTGTTGCCTATTATAATTACCACGACTCCTGTATACTTGTTCCGTGTTTTTGTCGTCCTTATCCGTATTCTACATGTAATATGCTCATTTGGTATTCAAAATAACAGTACCATGAAGTGCTCACGAAATCGTAAATATTCAAATATAAATATATATATTAAATATAAAACAAAAATGCATAGCCGTTATTCTGTATTTATAATTTTTCACGAACCATAGACAATTGACTGCAACTATACCATTAACCATCAAAATATCTAAATAATACACATTTAATATCTCTCTTACGAGTCAACACGCTTTCGATAAATTTAAATAATAATACAAAATTTCAGAAAAATACAAATCAAAGAATACCTCATGGATAATAAAACTGTAGACACATATATTCGAAACGAATACAAAACAGTGTTTAAACTCCCTTGAATATACTGATTTATGCAAAAATATGGTATATAAAATTTTACGAAAGATTACTGTAGAAATGTATATATTTTTTTTATAGATCATAATGTACACACTTAAAATCAAATAAATTATCAATGTTATATGCAACTATTTAAAAATGTACAATAATTATGCATTTCCACCGAAATATACAAGAAATAATTCATCCTTCGGTTCTATGAATAATGATACGTCAAGATTTTTAATCAGAATTACTGTAAGTAATTTACATAGAAATAGTCAATCGTATATAAATCAAGACCTTAATTATAATATATTACATTATATAGATGAATATCATATTTCAATTTCTAGGAAGGTAAATAATGAAAACTATCAATCTAATTGATTAAGGTACATACCTGCGTGTTTCAATATCCTATTGTGTAAACCAGTGGTGGCCAAACTTTTTTTCCTCGGGTCATAAAAAACAACTTTTTTTTTTATCGCGGGCCATAAAAAAATGCATTCTAAATTTTTTTTTACGTAAATGCAAAATATTACAGTTATACAAATAATTGCTCTAATATAGAAGACTTTCGCTGGCCAGATATTAAATGATGGCGGGCCGGAGTTAGCCCGCGGGCCGCAGTTTGGCCACCACTGGTGTAAACTATAGTTTGTATAGTATATTGTGTTCGTGGTTACTTGTAAAATTTAATCAAATTTGCTATTTTTCTGATGAAATCGTTGAAAAACCAATAACTACTATAATCGTTCGGAGAACTTCCAACAGACGCTTTTCTTCTCTCTCTGCTAGCCCGTTTATATTTAGTTCAAAATCAAATATGTTGCAATGTAGTACGTATAAAGATTGTAAAAAATACAAATAAAACTATGTACATATATGTAAATTATGACGACATAAAATATGCTGAAAAGGTAGAATTGAAATGCTCCCAGCCGAGGTATAATCACTTTATCAAGAAGAGTGCTAAAGTTAATGATATCGCGTTATACTCTTTAAAAATCCTAGTTTATTGAATTATATATTGTTTATTTGGGAACCGTTAAATAAATCATCGGATTGCAAAGAAAAATAGACACTTTATCGAAAACGAATACGAACCTATATTTCAACGAAGAAAAATTAATTGATCAACATATATTAATTATTCAACTAATAATAGCCGCAGTTAAATCGCATGATTGTTTAACCAACACAAACGAAAAACCCACGAAGACAGATTTGTAAAATATTTATGTTTGTACTACAAACGTATAGGTATAACCTTGTATTAAACTTTCAAGATTCAAAAAATTAAACTGTCAACACTATACGAATTTACGACAATGTACCTACTCAAGGTGAAAATTTCAGTTGAGAATAAGTAAGAAATAAGAAAGAAGCAAATGTCTCAGTGTGACACCGTGCTCAAAAATAATACTTATTATTACTCACATATATGAGATGTATGTATGTATATAATATGCTCACTAGGTTATAAATAATTGACCTTTCAAATTTGACATTCAACTGCACAACTGAATAATATCATTCATAAATATTCACTCTTTTTGAATTTTGTTTCATGCCATATAAGTAATTCCAAATTTCCACAGACTCTACAAATTATACTATTACAGTTTGTAAACATAAGTTTTATAAAACATATTGTACTCCAACCAAAAACATAAATAGACAAAAATTTCATTCGCATTAATGCATCAAATTTATACGAATATATACTAGTATGTATATTTAAAGTATAATTATAATTTACTTAGGTATATATAAATATATATATATATTTTAAATCTAAATTTTTTATTATAAGATGCATGAATCAACATTTTTAAATGGTTTTAAATTAATATATGTATCCACATACAGATATTTCTATCTTTTAGCTGTTATAGCCCGATTAAGGTCATCGCTTCTTTCACTACTTCATTATATCATTCATTGATACAATAAATTATGTTCAAATACTCAGTTGAACATGGAATCAGAGGAAAAACTATTTCCCGAGCCGGCTAAGGCATTCATGGCTTAACCTATAAAGTTTAAGTTAATCAACGCGAAAGCTGTACCAAATTACAATGTTTACCATTTATATTATCAAATGAACTAGGGTGAGAATCGTTGTTCGGTATCGCAGTAATGGACAACAACTTTTATTTCGAAACTGACTACTCTGTTTGTGGATAGTTGACAAGTAGAACAAAATAAATTGAGCTTAAATTATTGGGGTTTATACTATTATGATTTTAAATTCAAAAATGTGACGCCATGTTTTATTGTGACTAACTCTAATCTCATGAAGATTGGTTAGTGGGAAAGGAGAAGTGATCAAAAGTGCCGCATCAAGCATTCCGATAAAGGTTTTTCATTAATAGCAACATATACGTACTACATTCGGACGGCTGGTATTTATATGTATTATTTCATCACAGCGTGAGATCAAGCCCAAACAGTTCTTATCATTGAAGAGACGAAAGATAGACTGAACATTCGATGGCGATCGCTTGATCTATTGCATAAACAGGATGAGGCGAGAAAATAATAATTTGGCAGAGACACGTTAAGCAATTGACCACATGA